ACGCATATTGGATTATGCATAAATAATATAAATATTACATTGACTCTATTGAGAAATTGAATGGTCGAAAAGTGTTTAGCTATTAAATTGTTTACTTTGTACTTAAAAACCCGCTCGTATAGAATTTCTCGAGTAAGAAGAGTGCAATGCTTACATAGATATATATTTGTGTATATATAGAGGCAAAATATTTCGCGGTGCAGAAAAGTTTGTATTGTTAACAGCACATTTGAAATCAGAGAGCTCGACGAGCCCTGCTAAACAAATAGTTTCGCTTTTGTTCCCGATTTGCACGTCCCAATGCAGTGTGCGTTGCCGTTGCCGTCGCCGTCGCCGTCGCTGCCGCCGTCGTCGTCAGCAGCAGCAAATGGGGCAAATGCAGGCACAAAGTGCATGCTAAAGACGTGACCAAGACAGCAGAAAGCAGAAGTGAAGACGACGTTTAACGGGTTGTATGCGCAATATGCTTGCAATTGCTCAGCAACAACGTTCGAATTATCTATGACAGCATAAAGAGGAGTGGGGGGGGGGGGGGCGACAGGTGGGCAGTTGGTTAAAGTTGGAAGACGTGTTCGATGACTCAAACCTGGCAGACAAAGACTGAGACTGAGACTGAGGCTTGTGGAGTCATTTGCTGCTTATCAGCGGCAAAGTTTGCCCAAGCCGTGGCACTGTAAACATGACCATAACTGAAAACCCAAGAGAAACTGAAATTGGAACTCAAACTGAAACTGAAACTGGCAATTGGCAATTGGCAACTTGAGGGCTTGAGCCACGTCAGAGACCGATAAGCCAGGGCGCACACACACACACACACACACGCACACACACAGCGTTCGGGCCCAAAGTCGAGGAATGGCTAGCAAATTGGTCGTTGAACACGTTTTTCAATTTTCAGCAAAAATGTGTGTGTGCAGGTTAAAACAATGAGAATTTGTAAATTGTTGTTGCGGCAGTATCTTTGGCATATTCTTGACCGCCTTTTGTGCAATAAAGTGGAGCACAGGCAGCAGCAGCAGCAACAGCAACAACAACAACAACAACAACAAATATATACAATTAAAATTATTTATTAGTGCGCCGCTGCGGCTGCTGCTGCTGCTGCTGTTCGAGGATGCCATCTTCAAGTACAGCGCCGCATCGAAATTGGCCTCAACAGCAGCCAAGAATGAAAACAAATTCAAAGATGGCAACAGCAGCGGCCGCAACAACAGGCGGCACATTTGGCCATGCCTTTTTGGCCATTTGCCAGCTACTTTTTGGTGGATGCCACCCAACACACAACAGCAGCAGCAGCAAGGGGCAGCAATTGGCAGCAAGGGGCAGCAGAAGAGCAAGAATAACAACATCACGTTGTATCCATCTACTCAACCTCGGCCAAGTTGGCTTTGGACTAAAGCTTATTTATGTGCGTTGGCTGCAAAATATGGCGCACAATTTCTGTTTGCTTATTTACTGCAGTCCACAAAAACGAGCAGCCAACAGCTAATTGGGTGGGCGGCAGCAGCAGCAGCAGCAGCCGCAGCAGCCGCAGCCAAAAGATGCAATATTTTCTGCATATTTAAGATAAAAATATTTTTTCTTTATGCTAACAAGCCAAATATTCCGGCACACACTCTCTCCCTCTCTCTCTCTCTGTCTCTGCACGATCGAAGGGCTGGTATGTGCGGCTAATAAAAGGCTTAAATATCTATATATTATTGAACATATGTGTGCTATGTGCTTTATATATATAGAATGCAAGCCAAGTTAGCCAAGTTATGAAGCCTTACTACATCATTGTTTTTTCGTATAATATTTTATAAAAATATAATTAATATAGTAAGCTTAAGTTTAGTGCAAATTCTGTAAATTCTTCATAAATTGTAGGCAGGCCTATGAGACTTATTGAGCCTATATATTTTGGATCCCGTCATGTTGTACTGTCCGCCTGTTGGTCTTTATGAGTTGCCTTTAGTGATTTTAGGGGTATTTAGTTTCGGATTTTCGATAGATTTCGATTTCGAATACAACTTTTTTACCAAGTTAGTTAAGAAAAAAGGCTACTAATTTTGATATAAATCCTGTTGTTAGCAAAAGGTAGAGCAAGAAAATTGAATATTAAAAACAACTTTAAAAATTTCCTTAAATCGATAAATATCGCTTTGCAACCAAATTGTTTTGAGCACCTTTTCGATACATTTTTTTAACATTAATCTAGTTAAAGACGCAGGGCAAGTATATGTAAAAATATTACTGATAACTTTAGTCATATTCTTAAAATCGATAAATATCGATACCATCGACTTCCCTTAAATCGATAAATATCGATATGCATCCCAGCTTTGTCGAGTGTTTTTCTTAGATTGCTTGTTGCGAAAACATTCAAGTTTATTTAAGGATAGGAAAAATGAGATAGCAACAACGAATATTTTGTTGCTGCCTTGCTTTAAAGTTATGCACAAATGTGGGCTAACCGTTCAAAATGTAAGCTAACAGGTGATTCTGAGCCCAGCTATATTTCAATAATGTTTGCTTTTAACGCCTGATAACCACTTGCAACCGAATTCAGCTTCATATTTGTTTAACCCGATTGGGACAGACAAAAGGAGAGAAGCAAACAGAGAAGCATTCCTGCTCTTTAACCAACTGCACTCGTAAAGATTGCAAACTTCTCTACAACATCACAATAAGAAAAGAAGTTATTTTTAAGACCGTTTTTTTTGTTGTTGTCTTATTCTTATCAGCACCAGCAGCTCAGCGCAGAAGAATGTTGAGCCAAATGTTTCGGCATTCGGTAGAGCGCAATGATAAATCCCAAGTCAGTGAACTCTCAACAAACACACAGATACTGCACACACACACACGCACACACAGACTGCACGTGTATTGTTTACATGCTTATCAGCAGATTTGTGACTTTTACTGATAATTGCCAAAAAAATCTATTTAGCTGCTTTGATAACGTAACGATTGTTCCAGTCAGGCGTGGGAAAATAGCTCGCAATTTTGTTAATCCGCGTTGCATTTAGCAGGTGGAATGCCCCTAATGTTAAGACGCCTGCACCAGAGTTCGGCACAGAGTCGAATGTGAATAAACTGCGGCATTCGGCACTTTCCATAATTTACTTTGATGTATTACCCTTAAGAGCTGGCTGCAGCTGGCGAGCTGGCGAGCTGCTGAGCTGCTAATTAAATGCGTACCGAGCGCATATTCGCTTCCGAAATTAATTAAGGAATTGTCACATCAATCAGGCGCCCACTTGCCGCTGACATTGTTGTTGTTATTGTTGTTGTTGTTGTTGAAATTTTTGCGCTCAAGAATTTGAAATAAACAAATAAAATGCAGAAAATAGATTTACGAGTGTCGCAAATTTATGACAGATGTAAAAATTGTCAGCGCTTTTTATGGCCCACGTCTCTTGACGCTTGACTGAAGTCTGAAGAACGAGATTTCAGTTTCGTTGACTGACCAGCTGGCCATATCCATGGCCCTGACTGACTGCGCCCAACTGACAGCCGAGACGCTCGTCCTCAAGGCAACAAACTTTAAAACACTTGCTGCTTGATAATGAGAAAAAGTTCTTTTCATATATTTCTCATTTCATTTTTTCATTTTTTTATTATGTTTTATTTATTTTCATACTTTTTTTTCTCTTGCTGCACAGTTGTTTTCTTTGTGCTGCAAGCAAGACACAAGTCTTGAGATGATAATTACAATGATCCTTGGGCTGGTAATAAGATATGCCAAAGCACTTTGCTAAGCAGCCCATATAAATATATATATACATATACATATATATATATGTAGGCACATTCGTGCAACTGGCTGCTTTCTTTGTTACTGGCACAGGTGTGCGCCCCTCACGCCTCTCTATGGGCTCTTATTGTTATAGTTCATTCGCTGGAAAGGCAATTTCCACCTTACGTTCCTGTGTGTGTGTGTGTGTGTTATATACAAATTCCCAATACTACTTTAGTGCGGCTTAAACAAATTAAAGTGATTTATTCAAATTTAATTAAAATGGGAAACATATCGAAGCGAATTTTTAAAATGTATATCAACTGTTTGATTTTGTGCACAACGGGGCGTATACTTATTATTTTACAAAACAAAGCTTAACGCATTAATTTAAATAGAATTTTACCAAAAATGATTGATTAAATTAACTTTTCAAAACCTTTTTTTTTCTTAATATTTCGAAAATTCTATGCATTGACCTAACTTTTGATTTTGAGACTATGCTATTTAGTATATAATGATACTTATTTTGACGAACTTTGTTGGGGTTAAAAAAAAACAAAATTTTATCTATTTTTATTTTAGTTTCTAATAAACGCCCGTTCTCGAGACAGCTAAATAAAAATTTGTAAATAATAATTCTCTTACAACATATAAAGAAATAAAAAATCTGATTAATAAATATTAATATTGAAAATTAATATTATTAATTAATATTTATAAAAATAATAAAAAATCTGATTGATAAATATCAATATTTAATATTAATAACAATAATAATTAATAAATTCCTTTCCTGCTTTATTAATATTCTTAAAAAAATCAGCCTCAGTCTGCATTAAATTTTTTTATATTTTTATTAAATTAAAAAAAACCACATAAAAAATGTTTTTATTTTGTTATACATTAAAATAAGTTGTATTTTCATGAAGAATATTTCAAGTGCAAAAAATGGTTTTTCAAGCAAAATAAAAATTACCTAATATTGTACATTTTATTTAAGGGGATAGCTCATTTTAAATACTTCGAATGAACATTATTGCCCATAAATGGGCATTTGTACTCATTTGTGCATAAAGAATTTTCGATGATAAGAAACTAAATCAGATACAATAATATACTCTCTGCATATTGGCCAACGCTGCGTATGCGTTATGACGTATACGTAATTTGACCATAATTTTCGCATTCAAAAACTTGGGCAGCAGCCACTTAAGAGTGAAAATGACTGAAAAATAAAATGTATATATGCACAGCACTCAAGTTGCAAATTACGAACCTTTTTCGAAGTTTAAGCAAAAGGTTTTTAAGCCCTGCTTCGGCTACGGCAAAATGTATCCAAAAAATATTCCACATAAAAAACGGAGCACATGAAAACTATTTTGTCTGTGAAAAGAATTCCAAGAAGTGGGTCTCGATGTAGTTTAATGTGAAACTAATGCAGAAAACTGTCAGCTAATGGATAAATATATATATCTGTGTGTGTGTGTGTGTGTGTGTGTGTGTGTGTGTGTGTGTGTGTGTGTGTGTGTGTGAGTGCTTGTGTGTATCCAAGAGCTGCTTTCGAGTGTAGCCGAAAGGTTGCGCGAAAAACTCAACTCACGAAAGTACGAAAAAAAAAGTACACAAAAGGTGACAAAAATAATGTTTATCTGCAGCAGAAATTTTCAATTCAAATGTGGCGCAAATTTAAATTCCAATTGATTTGTTTATGTTTTGCATTTAGTATTTAGCTGTGTTAGTGTGTGCGTCTGTTTTGAAAATTTTGACATTTTGTTTGAATACTTTTGACTTTAGTTATATTTTCATTTTGGGAATTCGCATTTCGCACTTCACTTTGACACATTCAAACATTTGTTGTTGTTTATTTCAATTTTTTTTTTTTTTGCTGTTTATTATTATTGTTTTTTGATTTGTGTGACAGTCTTTTAGAAAAATTGTAGCAAAAATGTTTGCTGTGTTTTATTTTTAGCGTCGGGCAATGAAACTAAAATTTTCACTCACATGTGGAAAATGCCGCTGCACGCACTTTTCTTCTTATTTTCCCGATTTGTTGTTGTTGTTGTAACAGTTGTTGTTGTTGCGGTTGTTGTTGTTGCAGTTGTTGCAGTTGTTGGTGTTTGTCACTTTCGAGTTGTTACCCTTTGCATTTGCGGGTATTTTTATAGAGCGCCGAAAAGGAAAAACTCGACGCGTTACGATATTATTTTTATTTTGTTGTATTTTGTTTGCTTTTCTTCTTTCTTTTTTTTTTTTGGTCTGTTTTATTTTTAGCGTTAAATTTTCTGCGGTCAGCGATTTAAAAATAACAACAGCAGCTCCGCATGGATTGCACTTTACTTGGACATGGACTTTAAAGCTGATGCTGTTTGCTGGCTGATGTTGTCGTTGATAATTCTTGAATTCTTGAAAAAACTCGCGCCACAAAAATTGTATCGTATTATTTTGGAACTTGTGTTTGGTTCTCCAATTTAGCATGTGCTTTGGAGTTCTTTTTGTTATTTATTTTTATTTTGTATTTTTGTTTTTTATCAGCGTTCACACATTTGCTTCTTGTTGCAGTCTGAAATTGAATTTCAGTTTTCAGTTACAGTTCAACCACATGCGATATCTTCAACGGCGGCTGACTTTTGTGTTTGTCCAATTCACCGCGCCGGCGTTCTACTCACTTCGATGAACATCTTGTAACTATTTTCAAAAAGCGCACGAACGCAGCTGCAGAGCAACAATGACGACGACGGCGACGGCGGTGACGACGACGACGCTGCGGAGCGCACAAAAATCAAACCAGCAGCAGCAGCAGCAGGCAGACAAACGAAACCGAAACCGAAACAGAGACCGAGACCGAGACCACCACACAACAACAACAAAAACAGCAGCCAGCGACAGCGCCAACTCAAGAACACACAACAGCAACAGCAGCAGCAGCAGCGGCGGCAGCAACAGCACCAGCAGCAATCGTTGCTGTGTCGAGAGCGCCAGAGAGTGTAATTCAAAGTTAAAGAGTCAAAGCAAGAGAGCGCGCTGCTTGTGCTTTTGTAAACGCAGGCCACAAGAAAAAAACGAAGCGTAGCATCCGCGTGCTGCGCTGTTGGCTACTGAAGAACTGAAGCACTGGCCAGCCGAAACAGCTGAACCAGCCGAACCAGCAGCAGCAACAGCAGCCGAAGCCGAAGTCAAACGACATGTAATACGATTCGTGAGTGGCGTCGAGACAGCTTCGTGCGCGGGCGAAGAGCGCCATGATTACTTAAGCAGTGACTAACTAAACAGCTAACAGTGCGGAGCGCACGAGCCAAACGGGTCGTCGGCAGAGGTAGGGGCAGAGGCAGCGGCTAAGCCGCCAAGCCAAGTACCCATATACTACGCTGCTATTTGGCTGACCGTTGCGGTCGTCTGTTAGACGAGAGACGGAGAGCTGTTAACAGCTCTGTTGTGATGCTGTAATCATATTTAGCCATATGGTGACCAACCATCCCATGCTCTGATGCATTTGATTAGCTACATCGATTTTAATGTCTCATTTAATTAGCTGAAATTGTCATTGCTAATAGCCTGGCAGTTCTAATTAGTTGCACTTTCTGACAGCTTTATCACAAACTTTGACGTGGATTAGGCTAACAAAATGGCTGCAAGCGAAGCTGCTCATTAAAGTCGCCAAATTGCGCACAACAACAACAACAGCAACTGCAGCAGCAGCAGCAGCAGCAGCAGCAGCGCAGCCAAAGCCGAGGCAGAATCCAGTGACAGGCAACAATGCAAACTTAAGTACAGTAAGCGCTTATTAAATGCGCTGAATGCGAATAAAACTTTTAGCCAAATAGAAAATGGCGACTGTAAGGACGCTAGCGTAGGCAGCATCGAGAAACAATGGCCGGAAATTCGCCCAGCGGAAGCCAATGCCACTTGGGAGCCGTCAGTCACCCACAAAAAGCAGCTGCCGGCCCTTCTGCCCGACCCCTAGCAGGAATTTGCATGGCGCGGCCAAAACAAAGGGAGCGTATAATGTTTCGCTTTTGGGGCAGGGTCAGTGGAGTGGGGAGATGGGGGGGGGATGGGTTGGCTTGGTTTGGTTTGGATCGCTGGCTTAGGCCGTGCTGATTGGGTTTCCACAGCAAGCCGGCTGTAAGTTTTCCCCAAAAAGTTATGAATTGTTGAAGCGCAATTGGGGCGGATAAAGCACTACACAAATATTTCGGCCCAAAGTTGTAAATTGTAAAATTATGTTCGAATGCGTAAATCAAATGTCCTAATGCCGCATCTGCTTCGGACACTTGTTGTCTCTGTCACACCGTGTCGCTTGCCATATTGATTAATGTGCCCGGAGCGACTGCACATAGCTTGGCACTTAGCACGTGCTGCCGCAGGCAGCGCAAGTCAGGTACAAGGACAACTCAAGACGCCTGCAAACCGGCTACAAAAGTTATTTATGGGCGCCTCAGAATGCAATTTGTTGTGGCCAACAAATCGCCAAACAAATCGCGGCCGAGAGATCATTAGACAAAGAGAGAGAGAGAGAGAGAGAGAGAGAGAGGGACAGTTGCAGAGTTCGCTGAGTGGTGCCCAAAAAGACGGCGACTAAGTTGATTAGTCACGTCCAAGGAATGCCAAAAAAAAAAAGCTGCTTGGCACCCCAAAAGGTGAGGTTCCTTCAAAATCAAATGCGCTAAAAGCGGCCAAGAAATCAGCTTAAGCCAAATGGCGTTAATCCATGAATTATTGCCTAAAAGCATGCCAAAGCGCATTAAGTTTTTGACTTTGGTTCTTGCCAGAGCAGGTAAACAGAAAGACAGACAGACAGACAGACGGACAGACATAACCGCAGGACAACGACAACAAAAACAACAACAACAACAATGACAACAGGTACTAGTCGAAAGCGTCTATTGAAAGTGACGAACACTTTATACTCTTGCCAAAGGTTGACCAAGTCAATGACAAACAATTTTTTAAGGAGGTTTCTTTTGTTCAATGAGCTGCATTTATTTAACTTTTATATCAAAAATTGTTGTTAAATATTTATAAAATAATCTCTTTGAATAGAATATCCTTTAACATTTTTAAAGTTTTGTGTGTTCGGAAAAGCTTATTTTTCATTTACATAGACTTTCACATTTTCATTAAGCATGTTAAAAAGTTACAAGAAATAAATATAAATGCATATTTGTCCTGAATATCCTGAAACAATTTTTAAAATTTGGCACATTTCTTCTGAATATTCTCAAAGAATGCCTTTTCTTTAACTTCTTAAATTGCAGCTTTAAAAATGAGCGTATTTTGAGGATATTTTTATTCTCATTTCGCAGGATATGTTATTCCTTCTACATATTAAACATATTTGAATTTATAAAGTATTCATGCGTAAGGAAGAAACTTTAAAGCTCTTCTTTAAAAAGTATGAACAACATTTTTGGTAAATTATTTAATAAAGAATATTCAACTTGTATCTCATATAAAAACATTATTTATTTTATTACTTATTTAAATCTTTTACTACTTAAATTTTTAAATTATTCCCACGGAAGGGAACAACAAAGTTTTTTGTAAATGAATTAAAACATATTAATATTAAATATCATATATCATATTACATATACATATATATATATACATATATATATATATATGAAAGATTAATAGCTCTAAGCTTGAATTGGATCCCCACCATAAATATATATACTAGTTAATGACTTAATTCCTGCTCTGCTGCCGTTCTCCTTAAGCTTCCACAGACTTTCATATAAAGAGACTAATTTCTATCTACATTGTGTATATACATATATATTCATATAAACAGCGGATGCATGTCAAAAATTGAAATTGGCAAATTGAAATATATATGTTTATACAATTTTTAATCTAAGTACTTCAAGCTAATGTGACTTTTCCCAAAATCTTCTGTTCCCAGTATTCGGTAATCAGTATTCGAATCCGAATTGCGGCAAAAAACCCGGCCTCTTATATTTTATTTTTTGGATAATCCCTTGATTTTAATCAAATATTGAGACCGAAAAATATTTTAAATATACAACTATTTGTATTGTAAGTTCTTATGTGCGGCACCGACCCAATACCCTAAATCTACATATTTGCAGTTGCTTTGTGAACGTTCCTTGAATCATAATACCCTTTGTTAGGGCACAGCACAACAACAACAACAACAACAACAAACAAAGCAGCTAAATAAAAAAAACATTAGTAATGTCCATGAAAGTGCCAATGAATAACATGAAACATACATTTGCTTTGCATTTGTATCTGTATCTCAACAAGAGAACACCCAAAAGAAAAAAAAAACAGACAAAAAACCAAATGCCAGCAAAAAAAAAAGAGCCCAATTTTGACCGCACCCAAGAGCAGAGAGACCCAGCTCTATAAGGCACATATTTGGCTGTCCGTGTGTGTGTGTGTGTGTGTGTCGCGCGTTTTTTTTTTTTATGAGTATTGACATTATAATCAACGCCGTTTTCAATTTCAACAAACCTCCTGTTCGGAAAAAAAGGTGCATCCCAAAACAAAAGTAAAAAAACGCAAAAAGTTCTGTTTGCTTTTTGTTGTTCATTTTTATCTTTCACATTTTTTTCGGGCTACTTTTCAGGTCGCTGGGCAAAAAATATGTAAATTATGGCTGCAAAAAACTATGCGTGTGTGTGTGTGTGTGTGTGTGTGTGGCATGCGTCAGTCACCTGCGGTATTTCATTTTCGGTAATGGTCTCGTTTTTATTGCTTAGCTGCGTCTCAGCGTCCCCTTTGGCCTCGATTTAGCCCATTCGAATCGTTGCATAGTTTTGAACTTGAGCTGCAGGCTCCCCGAAGGATTGGCGACCCCTTGAAGCAGTACACGCTACAGTTAGTTGCCGTTGCATGCAACAGCTTCCATCTGGAGCACATTTATCCAAGCTGCCTGCGTGCCATTTGGGAGTTGCTGTGGGGGCAGCTGTTGGGGCTCAACTTGTGGCTTGTAAATTGAAAAGCTTCATAACGTAGTGCATTTAATATTTAAATACTTTGTGTATTCAATTCTTAACTTAAATAGACTATTCAGATATGTTTTTAAATATATTTATTGCATGGAATTTTTTCTTTAAATAGTTGAAACTTTAAAAGTGCAAACTTTTTTTGAAATTTAAAAACATATTTGGCGATTTTCTATAAGTTTAACATATTTATTAAACATTTTAGAAGTTTTTGTTTAAAAAATAATTATTTTATTATTTATATTTTATATATACATATATTAAGAAAATTTCTTGAATTTTTAGAATATTTTAAAATTGATTTGAGTTATCTTTTCATATTCCTATTTTACAATCTACTTATTTAATCCTTATCTGTAGCTGAGCTTATTATTTTGAATATGCTGCCTTTAATCCACATAAAACATCGTGGGCTCATTGTCAGAAACTACAGAATTTTTCAATAATATTAAATATTGAAGAAGCATTTAATCAACCAATATTAAAAAAAAAAAGGCTTAGCCATAAATTTGGTTGTTGCTTAGTTTATTTTAAAGACAAAAAGAAGAAATGTGTCACGTCTAAAACACAACCAATTTCTGGAATATTTAAAAATATTTTTGAAATATTTTTCGATGCTACATTGCAAAATTATCATAGTTTCTGGCTGCCCCAATTGAATACCTGAACCAAGTTCTCTAAAGGGTAAGCCATGCATTTGTTTGGTCAACTATAAAACAAAGCCTCGTGTTTAGATTCTCTTGTGTCAGTCGAGCTGCAGATACATATACATACGTACACACACATGCATACACATAGACATGGTCTGAAATGCATGAAATATGCTGTCAGAGAATTGGATTTCAGTAGCAGCTGTCTGGCGAACAAGAAGGGGGTAAGGGGTACAGCGGGTGGTATACAAATACGTAAACGAATACAATTACCTACAGATAGAAATACACACACACACCAACACACACACATATACATATAGATTGCAAGGTGTCGTTTCTGTCTCGTAATAAATGCTGCTGCAGACCCTTCATGCAACCCCCTTTGCCCCCTTGCACTGAGCTTGGACAACGTCTCGTTGCCAGCTCTCATCTGTCAGGGGCAGGCGCTCCACTTCG